ACTAAGATCAGATCATTCTTGGGAATGTGAGGTTATTACCGCAACTTCGTCAAGAACTATAGCACGATTACATCTCCCTTTACTGATCTAACTCGACTTCATATGCCATGGGAATAGACTAGCGAGTGTGAAGCAGCTTTCAAGCGTTTAAAGCATACACTCACGCACCATGAGGTTGTCATGGTACCCAACCCGCAAAGACCGTTTGTTGTAACCACTGATGCAAGCCAATACGGCATTGGCGCAGTGCTGGCTCAGCAGGAAGGGAAAAAGTTGAGACCGGTCGATTATATGAGCAAAAAAATATCATCAAAGAAGTTGGCAAAGTCCACCTATGAGAGAGAACTCTATGCCATCTACAAGGCACTTGTCCACTGGAGGCACTATCTGTTGGGAAGGGTTTTCCAGTTGAGAATTGATCATCAGACCCTCGAGTTCGCAGCCTGTCAGGGGTGCGTTTTATGCCTTGGGAACATTGCGTTTTTTATGCCCTGGTAACATTTTTCGTCGTCGTCACCATACGGTGCGGTAGTTGGACGGGTGGTGTATTTGTTGGGGGTCCAATTCGTGGGAAATAGGCAGTTCAAGGAAGTGCAGGACCGGTAGCTGCCCGTGGCATTAGGGCCTTGAAATTTTGAATATGAAACGGCGTGGACACAGGCCCTGTGGTGAGCTAGGGCGGGTTTTTAGGGGGGGCGCCGACTGGAAGGCGCAGGCGGGTCCAATCTTGCAATTTTCGAGCGCCAACTTGGTGATTTTTCGTACGCAGAATAATTGGAGAAAAGATCTGAAAATTTGATATCGGGTAGGCCAGGTCGTGATCTTTCCAGGAAAAATATCAACAAAATAAAATAAAATCGTTTAGACCATGAAATAAATGCCACGCCAATTCGTTACTTTTTCCATTTTTGGCACACGACAACTTGTGGGCCGACGGGAAAAGTACCCCTATTTCAAAGATTTTTCACGCTCAGAAGAACTCGTAAACAAGTCTAAAAATTTCAAGGTCCGTAGATTTGGTCATGATTTTTCCAGGAAAAATGTTTTTAAAAATTGAACAAATTGTCTCAACTACGAAATAGCTTATAGCGCAAATTCATCCCATTTTTCATATTCACCACTCTGTCGGTTCTCCACTCTGTGTTACTGGTAGCCCTCATGGACCTGTGCTACCGGTCCCCCGAATTTGCAACGTCGGGTAGAGTGGTGGTTAGAATTTGAAGCCTATCGTGGTCGAAATCGAAACAGGCCAAAAGCAGCGGCGGCCGCTCCCGTTCCCTCTGCGTTCACAAACTGATAGTCTCCTTGTGTGCGCGGGGAGCGTGGTTCCTTATCGATCGAGGCGTTTTAACAAAGTGGCGCTGTGCCTGATTTTTTTTTTTTTTTCTCTCTCTCTCTCTCTCTCTCACACACACACACACACACACACACACACACACACACACACACACACAACAACATCAACAAACAAACTACGGGCTGCGCACCCGTGCCCTCACGGTAAGTCAATGGATCAAGACGCGACCGGTTCTCTCCGATGCACTCAAACACTAAAGCGACCGGTTCTCTCCGATGCACTCAAACACTAGATTGAAGTCATAGATCAGTATGATTTCAAACAAGACTATGTGAAAGGAGAGTACAACAAGGTTGTGAATGCATTGTCTCGTAGAGCAGATTATCTAGGTGCGCTGATTTATGAGTTTGGCTTTTCTGAGAACGTTACTCGATCATTGGGGGAAGCCTACAAGGAAGACCCTATCACGATGGATATCATCAACAACTGAAGGCAAAGACAAGGCCACCATTGACGAGTTTGTGATGGTGGATGGTTTACTCTTTCTTGAGAAGGCAGGGTTTAAAAGGCTAGTTGTTCCATCTACAAAGATTTTGAGTAGTTTATTTTAGGTGAGTGTCACGACGCAACGGGACGTTTCGGCTATAAGAAGACTTGTGCTAATTTAGTACAACGATTTTGGTGGCCTAACAGGCTGGACGATGCAAAGAAGTTCGTACAGACTTGTTAGGTCTGTCAGCGGGACAAGCCAGGTATTCGAGCTCCACTTGGGTTACTTAAGGCTCTATCCATCCCTGCTGGGCCGCGGCAGAGTATCTCCATGGACTTCGTGGATACCCTCGTGACCAGTAAGAGTGGGAAGAGATATATCTTCGTCATAGTTGATAGGTTCACTAAGTTTGCTAGACTAATTGCCATGCCAGAGACAACCAGGACTGAACACGTCATCAAGTTATTCATGGATAACTGGATGCATGACTTTGGATTGCCAAAAACGATCGTTAGTGATAGAGATGTGTGCTTCACAAGCGAGATGTGGAAGAAGACCGCTGAACAGATGGGCAACAAGGATGACTGGGATGAGAAATTGTCTCTCATCGCTAGTCTGTACAATAATGCAGTACACAGCACCACCGGGGTCACCCCGAATCAGCTGCATCTTGGGTGGAAGCCTAGATCTGCACTAGACTTCCTTCTTCCTGAAAACCGACCTGCTGCAACTCCTGGAACCATTGAATTCGGTGTCCAGTACGAGAAGTTGCTGCAGCAAGCCGTCGAGAACATCAAAGGGTCTCAGGAAGCAATAATTGCTTCTAAGAACAAACATCGCCGACATTCCACATTTCAGGTAGGGGAACGTGTCTGGGTTAAGGCTAGTGAACTGGGACAGGAGTTCGGCATCTTTAGGACACTAATGCCTCAGTACTTCAGTCTCTGGAAAGTCCTGGATGTTGTGGGTTGTGAAATGGATGTTCCCTCGAAAGTAATCCGTATCCCTGGTCACTTACGCACTTTGCCACTCACCCTGTCTTTCATGCCTCAAAGCTCGCTCCTTTCACTGAGACGGAATAGTTCCCATCACGAAGATCTATGCTGCCCCCAACCATGGATGGCCACGTGGACGTTGATGATATCCTGGAGCGAAGAGACATACCTGTTCCCAAGCCAGCTTGCAGCAGGTAGACCACCTAAACCTGCAAGAGAATACAGAGTATGGTTCAAGCATCATACGGATCCTAAGGAAGATCGATGGTTTATGAGGGAGCAACTTGTCAAGACAGCTCCTCAGATCATGGCCGAGTATGAGAAGAAACTGAAGGGGAAGGCATCAGCATGAAGCATCTCAGTGGACTTTCGAAGCTAAGGGGGATGGAATGTGAGGAACGAGCCATCGGGCAAGCACATGTTCTGCCCGCCCTAAGTGAAGGCGGGCCTGAATATTCATCAGAGGCCAAAATTCGACATTTTCATATATGGGTATTCAGGCTGTTGCAGACGCGCGAGCCTCACTAAGCTGCGTCGTACAGTTGGCCCAGGCCTTGGCAGTTGCGCATGGTCACATACACACAAAGCAGGGCGGATACATCATGAAGTGGCCACCGGCCTATGCAAAAGCAGTACTGTCGACGTACCTACCCCGAGGTCCTGTGCAAATACAGCAAATGGCCCAAGTCCGGAGACTCAGGCTGTGCCTAACTGTAAAGGGCCCAGGCCCTCAACTGTAGCCTCTGGCCTAGGCAAACTGGGGCCCAACTGGAAGCTACTGGAAGCTTCCAGCCAGGCCACGCGCAACATCCAGAAGGCTGCCACTTCCATATAGGAAGAGAGGCAGCCCAGGCCAGGCATTCTGGCCTGCGCAGGCAATCCTTTCACGCTGCTGCGCTGCAGCCAGTGCGCTTGTGGGGCGCGTTGAAGTGGGGCGCTGCAGGGCAGCGGTGCGCTTGTGGGGCGCGTTGAAGTGAAGTGGGGCGCTGCGTACCTGGTGCATGAAGAGAGGTCAGCTATGGTGTTGACATCATGTACATCGGTCTTCGAGAGTCGAAATGCGCCTGTTGCGTGAACACAGCTGTAGGTAGGATAGTCGCGTAGGGTAGACTAGGCGCTGGGCGCCAGACAGAGAGGAGCGACGTTGGATAGCGTGTTGGTGTGGCCTAAGGGCTTGAACATTGGCTCATTACTTCATTGTATTGCTCCATTTGGATGGATTCTCGGTGCAACTGTGCTCTCTGCTTGTACAAGACTACTTGGACATCTGTGTGATTTGGCAACTTGGTTTTCTGTATATCGTTCACACTCATATTCCTTGCACTGTTATGAACTCAAAGAGGAAAAAGCTCTCATTGGAAGTAAGCGGGCAGCATCAGATTAGTGCTACACAGTTCGCAAAAAGCAAAACGGCAATGGAAGACATCCAGAGTGAGGGAAACAGTATCCTTTTGACTGAGGACAACATCACACAGGAGCAGCAATAGATAGAAAATAGCTAGAGGTCACTATCTGTAGTGAAGCGGCAATCTGCAGTTTGAAACAGTTACCATAAGCTAAACCGGCTGATGCTGCTGGGATAACCCCGGGTGGAAATGTGAGGTCCCCGGCCTCAATTGAATTTTCTCTTTCGGAATATGACAATGCCCTTGCTAAGAAAAGAAAAAAAAAAAAAAAAAAAAAAAAAA